TAACAACAAAGGTAGAACTGAAGGAGGCACTGCTGAAGAGTGACAAAATTTTGAACCAATAACCACACAAAAATTGATTTCTTCGATTACAAAACAAATAGTAGCTATTATTAAATAGAAGAGCTTGGCCACTATATATTAATTTTTATCGAAAATGTTTTTTTTAAATTTGTTTTTTAATTTTTGCGTTAGCTGTGCCAATAATTTTGTTCAGCCAAATTTAGTTTTTTTTTTTTTGGTTTTTTAATTTTAAAAAATTAAATATAAAAGAATATAAAATGAATTTAAAAGCAAATTTAGCATTTTATCTAAAAAATTTTTTTTTGATTAAAAATCGCATCATTAACAGAATAAAAATAATGCTAAAGTTCAATTTGCTTGTTGTGACTTTGTTCGTCACTGTATACTATGTATATATAATTCATATTTCTAATGTTAATGTATTTTATTATTTTTTCTTTATGACATGAACTTAAATATTGTTACATTGTATTTAAATTTTATAGTACCCTGATCAAAAACATAGAAATATATGTTTTTGCCCTGATTATGACTATAGATTATAGTCGAAATATCGGTAAAAATAAAACTTTTAATAACAAATAAATATTTTTAAAAAGTTTTTTATTTAACTAGCCCGTAAAAAAACAAAATAATTTTTTAAAAATTTTTTGGTCATTAAAACAATAAATTATGTTTAATGCTATGTTCAGACAGCCAAATTTCTTTAGTTTGGGAAAAATTAAACTAAGTTAGTTTCGAAAGTGTTCATACTGCTCGAAATTAAGAGAATCATATGTTTTTTGCTTACAAATGGAATTGCATGCTCAAAACACTATTTGTATTTGGGATGTTTTAAAATTTGATATTTAAATTCAAAAATTTGATTTTTGAAATAAAATAAAAATAAATAAAAAATATAGTATAGGAAAAAATGAATAATAATATGGAACTCTTGTTAAAGTATGTTTTTCAAAATATTTGAAATCGTCAAGCTACTGCAAAAATAATAAGTAGCTCCTTAGACAATGACTTACAATTGGTGAAGCAAAACATTGTTACTTTAAATCAACAAAGGGAGGACTGCTATAAAACTATACTACTTGGAACAACGCCATCTGTACCAAGACCATTTTGGAAATTTGTAAATATATCATCGTACATTGAAATGATGATATTTAATTTTTTTTTTATAGAACCGGCAATCAGCATTTTGGAACAAGAGCTGTCACCCGGAAAATGTTTTTAAAACACATTTTCGTGTAACTCGAAACAGTTTTACAGTTCTGTGAGTTGTTAAAATCTTTACAAAAAAAGGACTAATTGGCGTAAAATGGTTCCGCTTGATAAAAGAATCGCAATTATTTATGTGCGTTAGGATCTTCAGGGGAATACAGAGCAGTGTGTGAATTATTTACCGTTGGCAAATCTACAGTATGCACTATTGTATTGGAGTTTTGCAGAATTATATGGGAAGTAATGTCACCTATATATTTAAAAAGATTTCCATTAATACAAGAAACCGTGGCAGAATGTGTAAAAGGTTTTGAATTTCTCAGATTCCCACAATGTTTAGGAACCCTTGGTATATACTTATAAATTTAAACGTACTTAAAAAAGTGTATAATAATAATTTTATTTAGATGGATGCCATATTAAACCCAAACCCAGAGGATGCAGTTGATTATTAGTTTTTTTAGCTTTAGTGGATTTCAGGTATGTTTATTATTATTTTTCACTCTATTTTATATTAATACGTTACTAGATACCGTTTCATGTACATTAATGTGGGAACTCCTGGACGTTGTAATGATTCGTATATATATGAAACATCCAACTTAAAAAAGATGTTAAATACATGCAACTTGTTAAGGAAAAATAAGAGAAATATATGCAACTTGGATGTGCTAGTATATCTAATAGCAGATTCGGCATTTAGGCTAACCCAAACTTTAATGAAACCATATCCATTTAATGTTGATATGCGTCGATAAAAACAAATTGTAACTACAAACTTTCGAAATGTAGAAGGGTTGTTGAAAATGCATTTGGACACTTAAAAGCACGATTTCGACGAATAGGAAAGGGTTTGGACAATATAATCAATAATGCAAATATTATTGTAAGTGCTTGTTGTCTATTGCACAATTTTTTAAATGAAAATTACCACATTAATGTACAATGGTTAAAAGAGCTGAAAAACATTGATGAAAACTAACATCCTGACCAAGAACCCATTGTTTTTGATATGAAACCTAGACAAGCTATTGCAACTTACTTGAGTATGTACATATTTATTTATTATTTGACATATTTTAACTTATTTTTTAGTTATTTACGTTTTATTAAAATAAAGATAATAATAATAAAGTTAGTAATAAGTAAATAATAAGATAGAAAATAACTAAATTACTTACCTTTTACTGAAATAATTCAATCTATTTCTTCTTTTAAGCTGTGGGGATGATATTGGAGTCGACGATGTGGTGGTAGGCACTTCTGATAATACTGGTGGCAATAAAGTTGACATCGACGTTGATAACGCAGTCGCTTCTGACAATACTGGTAACAATAATGTTGACATAGGGGATGATGACATTGCCATTTCTTCCTCCAGATAATCCTCATGAAAGCCTGCATCTAAAATATTGAAAAACCGTTAAACATTAAAGATAAACATAATAAAAATAACAAATTTATAACAGACTGCATGAATAATTTATTTTTTAATATTTATTTACCATAAATACTTTATATTTGAAAATTTTTTTGACTCGTTCTTAATGCACCATTTTTCCTGTTGAACTACCAGAAGGACCAATTTTGCAATTTTCTTTTCTTCAAATTAAAAACAATTAAATATTATGACTTTATTACATTAATCCCAAATACCTTGTTGTGTCCGGTCTTCGGTGGGCGAAGTAACACTGCAGTGAACGTGGAGCGGTGACATGGTGGCCAGCCCGGTATGCTCGCCGGTTTTGGGGGTGATTCTTCTCACGTTCAGCAACAATCGCGGATATCAACAAAAATTCATGTCACCGGTTTGCTGTGGAAGAAAACCATTTTTGTGCGGAACCTACATCTAACACAATCACAATATAGCCATTGCCTAATTGATTTCGCTATATTGTAGCAGCTTGAAATGTCCTCGTCTGTTTTGTCTGTATCATCTTTCACACTACATTCACTCGGTCCCTCTGCAACTTATATACATTCTATTTTTCCCTAGCACTTCCACCACCGCCAAATAACTAAACCTTAATCCTGCATACTATTTGAGTTTTCCATCAAAAAAAAAATTTCTTCTCTTTTTCCTTTTTTTTTTTTTTTTCTTTTTATTTATTAGATTCAACAAAAGTCATGACAATAATAATCTTAGTAATCTTAAACCTAACTAATTAAATCATAATAAAAAAACAAAAAAAATATATAAGAGAACAAAAGAAAATATACACAACCAAATCTTTTAACTGAATTTTTTTAACAAAGTAACAATTTCTCTTTACACAAGATCGTGTGTCTTACCTTCCAGCTGCTAGAATGACGTCACCCACGCTGCTGTTGACCTAGTTGAAACTTATGAATGATAAAAAAAATATAGATGTATGTATTTAAAGGTGTTTGGGACAATCAATTATATGTCTTATATATTATATGTATATATAATATATACAATTATTATATGTATATTATTACTATTTCTCTTATTGTTTTTTTTTTCTTTTTTTCTATATCATATATAATTCTTAAGATAATCTTTAACATTTAATACAATTCAACTTTTGTTTTTTTTTTTTTTCTTTTTTTCAACTAAATTCAAAAGTATACATTCTTCACAATTTTATAAAAGTTAATGTAATTAATTAATATGTAGTTAAGTTAATATATTAAGATAATATAATTAAAAAAAAAATAAATAATAATAAAAAAAAATATATGAATACAGGCATGTACGTTTCTGTACAAGGTAAATCATTTAGACACCGCTGTGCCTTAACGGTGTGTATGGATCCTGTTGAATCCTTCCAATAAGAGTGTATTCGGCTTCCAATTTAATATTCTTACGGTCATGTCTTTATTTAAACATATTTCAAAAAAAAAACTATTCATTTATTGGCACCGAACCGTGCGTTTGATCCACTTTTTAAGAATATGTTTATAAACGATGCAAACTTAATGAAATTTCACTTCTTATCTTTTGGGTTTTTAAAACAGCTTGGCTTTTATTAGCACATTTTCAAATTTAATGGAATTTTTAATTATTATCTTTAGGGCTTTAAAACAACTTGGCCTTTATTAGCGCTTTTATTCACTGTTTTACTTTTAATCTTAAGTTTAGAAATAATCTTGGCTTTTATTAGCACATTTTCAAGTTTAAGGGAATTTTTAATTATCTCTTTAGGGCTCTAAAACAACTTGGCCTTTATTAGCACTTTTATTCACTGTTTTACTTTTAATCTTAAGTTTAGAAATAATCTTGGCTTTTATTAGCACATTTTCAAATTTCGGTCGTTCATCGACCAACAGCAAAGGAAAAGCAAAAAAAAAGAGAGACCATCACCGTGTCTGCTATGGCTTTTATATTCAATTCGCCTAACTGATAAATTCCTATCATGTTAGTGATCCTGTTAGCACAGCTTGCTTTCGTTAATTTGCGTTAGCTGGCCTTGTTTGACTTGAGGGTAATAACCTCTAATAAAGCTTTTTTTTTTTCTTTCCCCTTTTCAATCAAGCTACAATTTGTCTTAGATATTTCAGGTGGTTATTCGCACTTGGCAATACTGTCCCCTCTCATTAAGTCAAACTTTACTGAAGCTTTTGTGAAGTTCGCCTTACTATATTGCACTAAACAAACGAGACTTGAACGTAAAAGCTTTACTTTTCGCCTTCTCTGTTTACCATTTTTTTGTTTACTTCTATTTTTACGGACAGCGTGCGCGCAATGCACGTTGTAGATTTAATAAATTGAAATTCTTTCAATAGTGAGTGCAAATATAACACATTTAAATTCTAATAAAAAAATTACTTGTGGACCATATAATAAAAAGGTGAACAGCATACTTAATAGTTATGCGCAAGAGGAATACTGTTGGTGGTCACATTAAAAACACCTTGACAATGTTGGCGATATAATAAAAAAATAACTGAAGTACCCATGGAAGCCACATAAATTTCAAGGTATGTTAATGTCATTAATATTCACGTTGTTTTATTAATTCTTCGTTTACCCCTACCCAGGCCTACATGACAGGCTCGATACCGTCGATGTTATACCTCTATATAACATGGAACGGACTCGTAAAAAAAATGGACTGGTAGACTGTTGTTTGCTTGTACAACGTGTGGCCTCGACCCATACCCTGAGTTGCAGAGTCTCATCCTTTGCCGACTGATCTAGCCAGGCATTTAATTGTTATGACCCGATTTCTACTCCTTACTGACAAAAGATGTCCTTCGCGTGGTATACCCCTATACTAACCCCATTCATATTTCCTAACTCATATAGAGAAGAACCTATTGCTTTTAAAATCACGCACTTCACGTTTTTCTTTCCTAACTTCGCGTTATAACCATCAGATTGCTTACTTTGTCTGAAGTTGCGTCTATACACTACTTGCCCTGCTCTAAACTGAATTTCCTTTTTCCGTTGATTATACACTCTTCCAGATCTTTGGTGAGCTGCTTTCAATTCTGTTCTCAGTTTCTCTCGCATCAGTAGCTGTTTGTCTGTCGCTTCTAATATTTCAAATTCAGACTGTTGTATGGAGCTCAGCTTTCTCATTATCTCATATGCTGCGCCATGCTGAATCATATGTGACCCAAATACCGCCATATATGGTTCCATACCTATCGAGCTGTGTTTTACACTTCTGAGTGCAAATGCTGCCTCACTTACATACTGATCCCAATTTCGTTGGTTTTCCTGTATGTAAGAACGAACGATCTGAAGTACCGACTGATTTACTCTTTCGGCAGCATTGGCTTGGGGAGAATAAAATCCAGTTCGGATGTGTTTCACTCCATATTTTTGCAAGAATGACTTAAAGGCTTCTGAAATAAATTGTTTCCCGTTATCCGAATGCATGTATTCTGGTACACCAAATGTGTGGAAAACATCAATTTCAAGATACTTAATCATATTCTGGACTGTAGCTGCACGCATTGGTTTAAGAAATACATATTTTGAGAAGTGGTCTAGCCCTACAAAAATCACCGTATTACCTGTGCTAGTCCTAGGATAAGGTCCCATGAAATCCACGTACAGACGTTGGAATGGTTTTTCGGTTATGGTTTGCATTCCCATTAGTGGTTTTCTCATTCTATTTGATGCCTTAGAAGTATTACAAATCTCGCATT